CCGGCCTCGTACGGGCTGTCACCGCGGCAGTGCGTGGGGAGGGGGGAGGGGTGCGGGAATAACTGGGCCTATGGCTACCACCGGCAAGGGCAAAGCCGACGCGCGCAGATCGCGGAGCGGCTCCGCCGCGAAGCCGAAGCGAGTGAATCCGGGGTGAGCCGCCTGCACGTTCTGCACAGCGCAGCCGGCGGGACTGGCTCCGGCGTGGGCTGCGTGGTTGCCGAGGTCGCCGCTGAGGAGCTGCCGCGGGCCTCGCTCATTCACAGCGTGGTCTGGCCCTTCCCCCGAGGCGAGGTCGTCCCACAGTGGATGAATCTTGCGCTTTGTCTGGCCAACCTACGTGATGTTGTCGACGGCGCCTTTTTTGCCTTCAATGGTGTCCTTGGAGAGGACCTTTTGCACACCCAGCGGCCGTCGGAGATGCACCGAGGTGGTGGAGATGAAGATGAAGGCGCCGTCGCCGTGGACGCTGTTTCCTTTGACGCCTTGAACGTGCGCATCGGTCGCCTCCTCGCGCCGCTTTTTCTTCCAAATTGGCTCTATGAGGTGCCGAAGCCGCTTCGTGATCTCAGTAAGAATCGTATTGCCGTGAGCCAGACGGTTAAAAATCTGCATGCAAGCGAGGAAAAGGAGGCCCCCCGCAGGCTGCGCTATTCTTCGTCTGAAGACGTTATTGAGAGCCTCTGCCTTGATCCCGCGATGAAGTTTTTCACCGGTATGCAGCTTCCTCAGGAGCGCATCACCGGTCATCGCGCCCCAACAACGTGGTCTTCAGTTCTCTTAGAAGCCATTCGCAGCCTCGACGGGACGTTTACCTGCGAAGGGGTCTTTCTAGCTCCTCCTTCGTCTTCCTCATCTTCGATGTCGTGCGCGCCTTTTGCGATGGCGAGCCGGAGCTGTTTGTGGGCCCTGCGCGGCTACGACGCCCGGCGGGAGGGGCTGCGGGAGCTTCAGGATCTCATGGCGAGCCGCCTGCCTGACGGTGCCTTCCCCCTCACTACGCTGCTTGTAAGTCCAAGCGAGAAAAATGACAACACGTGGTACGCTCGCACCGATCACGAGGTAAGCTTATACGGACATGCTCCTATTATCCCGCGTTCTATCGCAGAGGCGCTGCGGAAGGTCGAGGATCAGGTCCGTGTTGGTGCTTTTATTCATCATTTTGAGCGGTATGGTGTCGAAAAGGCGACGATTGAGGAGGCTATGATGAAGTTATGGGATACAGTTGCGACGTACGACGCCAGTCTTATTTATTCGTGATTGGCATCTTAGAATAAAGGCCAGAAAAATAAAAAATGCATGCATATACTTGTTTTTGATATTGTGAATAATATTATTGTCACTATTCAAGTTTGCATTATCCTCCCCTTTAATAAATACCTCCCTCTATTGTTACATTTTATTTTCGTCGTTTAGAATAAGATCCTTCAAGTCCTAAATCAAGGAAAATTTTTTTTATTTTTACGACTAGAGTTTTTTTTGTTTAAATTTTTTTTATCTTGAAGTGTTACACTGTGCAGTAGATCTGGAGAGAACTTCGTTGATTATTGTTAACCTCGTCCTCTCCGTCCAAAAGAAAACGATAGGAAAAAAGTATCGATTTAAAAAAATTGTTTCTTACAGATACCGCGCTGTAACCCAGACAAAACACGCACTTGCGAGAAATACGTAATATATACGCGTATTTCCTTTTCTTTTCTCTTTTTTGTATTATTTGTCCGGCCTCGTTGCTTCCGCCTGTGTGTGTGCGCTCTGATTTTCCTGCGTCACAACCTCTCCTTTTCCTTCCTAGCGGCATGATGATTTCGAGTGCGCAGCTTCTTCGTCTGGCCAAGACGTCCGACGCGAGCGGGTGCTTCTCCGGGGCCTCCTCCCTTCGCACGCGGCCCGCGGCGGCAGGGGAATCCGCCGCGGACCTCAACCTCCCCCCTCCTGTCCGCCCCTCCCCTGGCGTCCTCGCGACCTACCGCCACGACCCCTACGCCTTTAACGCCCTCAAGGACGAGGACCTCGCG